ACCTGTGTATAGATCTGTGATGAGGAGGGAGAAAACCAGTGTTAAGCAGGTCAAAGTCTGGACTGACTTCAGGGGTGTTTTGAGTGCACAGACTGCTCTATATTCCAGGAGGACTGCTCTGATATTGATGAACTTACAGATGTTGTGTGCAGCTACATTTCATTTTGTGAAGACTGTGTGATTCCTTCCAGAAATGTGAAGATTTTCCCTAATAACAATCAGTGGCTCTCCAAAGACATGAAGGGTCTTATACATGAACGGAAAGTTGCTTTTAATGAAAGTGACGTCCTTGCTGAGAGGAAATTGAAAAATGGGCTGAAATTAAGAAAGCTCAAATTAGGTATAAAGATAAGATTGAGACAGAACTTAGCAGTAACAGATGAATTAAATAGTTTGCAGAAACCTGCAGAAAGTGACTAAACTTTGGAAAAAGTCCATTATTGTTCCTGTAGCTAAAATGAGCAACCTGAAAACACTGAATGATTTCAGGCCTGTAGCGCTGACTTCTCTACTGATGAAGACATTAGAAAAAATTATCAGGACTCAAATTTTAATGCAGGTTGAAGAACACCTAGATCCTCTTCAATTTGTGTACAGAGCTGGTAGAGGTGTGGAGGATGCTGTCACCACATTGTTACACTATTTGTAGAAGCATCTTGAGGGCCCTAAGACACATGCCAGACTCCTGTTCATTGACTTCAGCATTTAACTCCACACAGCTGATTTTGCTTCTGAAAGGTTAATCCATCACTTTAAACTTGAGCCTAGCTTGATTGGATGGGTTGTAGATTTTCTGACCAACAGGTGGCAGTGTGTGAAAGTAAATGGTGTTTTTTCTAACCAGCTCTCTTCTTCCACTGGGTCTCCTCAGGGTTGTTGTCTGTCACCCCTTCTGTACATTATGTACACTAATGAGTGTCGCAGCAATCACAGTAATAGACACCTTCTTCAATTTGCTGATGACACTGTTGTTGTCAGCCTTCTTGAGGGGGGAGAGCAGAGTCTTCTTGAGGGGGAAGAGCAGGGCCTTCTTGAGGGGGGAGAGCAGGGTCTTCTTGAGGGGGAGAGCAGAGCCTTCTTGAGGGGGGAGAGCAGGGCCTTCTTGAGGGGGAGAGCAGAGCCTTCTTGAGGGGGGAGAGCAGGGTCTTCTTGAGGGGGGAGAACAGGGTCTTCTTGAGGGAGGAGAGCAGAGCCTTCTTGAGGGGGAGAGCAGGGTCTTCTTGAGGGGGGAGAGCAGAGCCTTCTTGAGGGGGGAGAGCAGGGTCTTCTTGAGGGGGGACAGCAGGGTCATGATGACTCTGTTTTATAAAAGTTTGATTGACTCTGTTTTAAATGTTTGCATCGCTGCATGGTATGGAAGCCTGAACTCAAACAAGAACAGACTTGGGAGACTTGTAAAAACAAGCAGCAGAATCTCAGGGAGGTGTCAGGTTGGACTTTTGACCATTTATAATCAGCAGGTCCTGAGGAAAGCTAGGGCCATACTTGTGATCCCAGATCATCCACTTCACAGTGAGGTTGACCTTTGACCCTTGGGTCGTCATTTAGGTCATGACGTCATTTAGGTCGTCGTTTTTTCCCTTCTAAAAAAAAATTTGAATCTGAATCAGATAAGGGTATGATTATGTATACAGCACACAGCATAGACGGATATTATACTCTGGAAGGGCAATGTATACTCGGAGATGCACACTGTAAATTATAAAAACTGTAAACAAAAATCATGAAACTGTTTCTTGTCCTAGATACAATAGAGAACAGCAATTAATCAATATTCCAAAATATTTATACATGTCTGCCAATTGAAGGAACCCTTAAGGCCATGGGTCCCTATAAAAAGGAGTAAAAATCCAACTTGTGTCCCCATATTGTAGGTGTACAAACCATGTGTACTTACAGTTTACACCATGTATACACATGTTCAGAGCGAAAACACTGAAGTGAAACGGAAATAAAAGCCTCATCACAGATCATGTTTTCTCTCCAACCACAAATTGGAAAAAATAACGCATAAAAAGATTGAGTTGATTGTCCGTGTAGCCGTTTTTGTCCATGTGACCATTTTTCTCTAACTTATTTATAACAACTGAGAAAACCTGAAAAATCTATAACAATAAAACCTTCACTTGAAAGAAAATGTCAACCTTCATAATGACCCTGTAAACCTGTGGGTCCCTGTCAGTGTGGTTTAAATCAGGTCTATGTCCCCACATCGTAGGTTTCCAAATTGCACACTTTTTTAAATATTTTGTTTTCGTACATTTCAAGCCAAACAATACTTCATTTTAATAAAAATATTTTTAACAACAACAAAACTAATTTTCAGTTTCACTCCATCCCAAACCCAGTGTAAAGTAATATATCCCAATTTCTTACGTTCAATTAGAGTCAAATGAAAGAAGAGAAAGGAAAACAACAGTAAGAAAACGTGTTAAAGAAATACCTCTTAAAACGCTTTCTAAGTACCTTTATTCAGGCTTATTAAATGTTCTCAGTAGCCTCAATTACTGTAAGTTGTGAACTAAATGCTGAATTTGTGGGCAAGCAATCGATGGCGTGATTGATATCCTTATCGGCTCAAGTGAGGCAATGAGTCATTGTTGGTTTTAGCTTAACCCAGGCAGTCCTGCGATGGACTGTAGTCTCTGTATTTGAGAATCGAGGACAGGCAAGGACAGGTCAACAAATCTGTTGATGTTTGATACACAAACCAGTGTCCTTAGAAGTCCTACAAACACAGGATATCATCAAATCTCCTTTAAACCTATTGTGTAAATAACAGAAATGTCTGAACACATGTAGCTTTTTTTCTATTGCTCCTTTTTACCCCAGCCTGTTAAACTACTATATAACGAAGGAGTATTATGGCCACATTAAGGGTTTTTTTTCAGATATTGTGATTAAAGTCTTAAATATACAAGAATAAACGTACAATATGTGGAATTTTATGACAATCTTTAAATTGAAATATTACAAATTTATTAAAAATGGACTAAAACAATGTTAGATTTTTTTTTGTTGAGTAATTAGACTACCTCAAATATTTCCAACAGTTATCAAAGCCAGAGAAATCTGAACTTCCTTGCCGCTGAGGTGGAGGTCGGAGCAGTGTGTGCATGAATGAGGTGGTTGTGGGGATGACACAGTCTGATGGTGGTGGCTGGGCATCGGGAGGTGGCTGGGAAGACAAGTCTGATGGTGATGGTTGGGAAGAAACAGTCTTATGGTGGTGACTGGGTTACTGGGTGTCAGGCGGTAGTTGGGAAGACACAGTCCAGTGGTGGTGGCTGGGCTCCACGCGTTGGTGGTGGGAAAGTCTTTAAGTGCTAAGTCTGGCTGTGTTGTCATATTTTATAATGTTGTGTCTGTTCAATTTTTTTTTTACCTGAGAAGGAAGAAGTTTTAAAAAGAACACAAGTTTAGTCTTCCAAATGTCACTAAAATGAAACACTACCGGTACAAAAACGGGTGTTAATGGGCTAACTTACATATTGGCATCACCAACAGGCTAACCTGCTCTTTTTGAGAGATCAATCAGGTTGTATTTTTAACTAATGAGGCAGAGTATTCCTTATACATATAACAAATATCTGTGAGGAAATTTTAATTCAAAACATTTACACATTTCAGCGAAAACTGGTAATATAAAGGCTTTGACATTTTATTCAGGTATATTCCAGTTTCTAAATAAAACACAATTTGCAATTTATGGCCTGAATGACAAATTTAGGGGCTGATCGATGACATGTTGGATTTTATAGCATTATTGGTAGAGATGACACTATCAGTCAGTGTTGGTTTTAGCTGGAATGAGACCGTCCTGTGATTATCTGTATCATCTGTGTATTTGTGCATCTTTGGCAGCCAAGAACAAATCACATATTCTGTGATGTTTGATGCACAAAAAGAACAGTGTCCTTAGGAAATCTTTAAAGCCCAGAACAACCTGATATCACCGTTGAACCCACCATGAGAAAATGTTGAGTTCAAACATTGCTTTCCCAACTTTGGACAAAAAATGCATATGCACACACACTATAAAGGTCAGAAAACGTAGAGGCCTAAGCTTCTGTGGTATAACTCCTGTGTCCTCCTGTGTCAATCGATACATCTATTCAATTCTTACATATCTTATGAAGTAAAAGTATGTTTTAAGAGGAGATGGCTGCAAGCAAGATTTCCCTAATTCAACAAAGTATAATTGCTCATAGTGTCAAGCCTTTTTCCATAGATTATAAAAACTAAAAGGAGATGTAAATACTGTTGACCTTGCTAGCTTGCTATTTAGGGTTTGCTAGATGATGGAAAAGGATGAGTCCCCTTACTTGAGATTCATAAATTATATTGCAAATGTCTCAAAGGAATCATGCTTCTACTTTAAGGGATAATTCTGCTTGTGTTGTAGCACATGGTGATATTGGATCTCTTACACCTTTTATCTGAGCAGAAAGGATTTTTGAAGACAGCATAAGCATTTCTTTAATATCAAACATAACCTGTTGAACAAATGCTGACCTAAATGCTGTGGACCTTGCTAGCTTAATATCAAGGATCTGTGAGCGGATGAGTCTTATTGTACAAATATTGTCTGTGAGTAAATTGAAGGAAAGCAATAGAAAGAGTGACATGTTATGGCGTGAAGATGATCTATATGAGCTAAAAAGAGTGAAATCAATGATGATGATATAATGCTAGAATTAAAGGTTGGTCAGCTAATGAGCTGATAATGATTAGTTTGCTACTGATTACCTGATAAAGTTGTGGCTTTTACCTTTTTTGATCTCAGCAGTTCAAGATTATTGTTTTGTGTGATATATACTATGCAGTCTGTGCAGTTATGTGTTGTGGACAGCAAAGGGCAAGTCAATAAATCTGTAAATGTTTGATGTACAAATGATCAGTGTCCTTAGAAACCCTATAAACACAGGACACCATAAAATCTCGTCTTAAATAACAGTTGGACAAGGGTGGAGTCAAATATCGTGTGCCCAACTCCAGGAAAAAAATTTAAATTATTTACTATACATTCATATTATATGAATAGTCCAAAAAGCCAGGACACTTGGAACTCTGCCATGATTAGATTCTATGAAGGCCGAATGTCTCTGTGAGGCTCCGTCATTCAGCTTTGTCAGAGAAAAGCTTCCTGCTTGGTGTTTTCTTCCATACATTGCTAACAAGCTAACCATCCGTAGCATCATGAATCTGTTGTTCAGCAGTCTTTTCCTGGTGGCTGGGTTGTTCCTGAGCAGCTCGGCTCTGTCAGTTGAAGAATGCAGACCTCTGATCACACCTCTTCCAAGATTTGAACCGGTAAGCCTTCTCTGCTGGGTCTGTAGGTTAGCATTAGCATTCAGGATTTTTAGCAGTACACATCTTTTTTGAACCTTTAGTCCTCATTTGATTGATTTCTTTCCTTATCATTAGTATTCAGTTTGAGCTACACCTTAGCATTAGAAGACAAATTGGCCACAACTTTTGAGAAGCCAGGAAAATTAATTTTGTCACTCAGTGAAGAAGAAAAAGAGAACTCATTCTAACATGACTCTCAGAGCACAATGTTTAAATGAGATCAAAAACCTGGGCCTCAGAGATACTTTCGCCCTAAAATTAAACTTTCAGATGGATACATAGTCATTTCTCTATGGTAAGTAAGAACCTGGGAATTTGTACATCAGATATGATTGACTAAGCCTCATACAGAACTTGTTTCCCTATGATTATTCCAATCTACTGTATGTGTTGAACCAGGCTTTATATGTCTGAATGAATTGACTCAATTTTTAATTTTAAAAGTGTAATTCTAAGGTTACACATATAATAGAGCCTTTTTTCCCTTCCACAATGTTTTTTAGAAAGTTTTTCTCATTGTGGTTTTAATACTTGGTACTTTTCCTGTGCAATACCTAAGTTTAACAACTCTTAGCTCTCAAAATCTGATGTTTTGCCAAATTTTAAGACAAGTTTAGGCCTAATTAAAAAAAGGCTAAAATAATGTAAAAAGTTGAATCCTATAAAACCATAAGAATTAGCTGAAAAGAATACAAACTTGACCCAACAATTGAGACTTGATAAAGGTGTGTGCAAAAATGCAATTTACAATCAGCCTTTGGCTCTGCTTGCATTACAGCAGACATTTGAGTCTAACTCATTAACTTTACATTTATCTGCAGAGTTACGGAAGGTGGATCTTTATCTTGGGTTACATTACTAGTGAACCACACAGAGTCTTGTTCAAGACAACCAAGAGCCAGTGGGTTGACTTCATTCAGACGTCACCTGACCACAAGGAATTCGTTCAGGATATCGGGATCAGGCAGTGAGTATTAATCAGTGCGCGATCAGCTGTACAAATATATAACATATACAACTTATTAAACAAAGGTGGTTATGTTTTATTGTCTGTTTGCTACTCCATGCTAAATTCTTAGTCATCCAACCCTGATCAACCGTTATGCAGATGACACAATTTTATTCTTCTTAAACGCTTAATACTCTTGATACTCTACCATAACAAAAAACACTAAGGATGCACATCAGATCCCCTTTTGCTAGGCTAGAATAGTTACTTCTACAGTGGAGGTTTCAGTCCAAGCATGGCATGTATGCAGCTTGAAATTCATACCATTTTTTAAACATAGATTGCAAAGAGAACAGTAGCCTGGTTTAAGGCACAAGTTAACAGGTCACAGACACAACATGACTATGATAAGATAAATGCAATGTATTAAATTATTTTTTGTTCCATCTAGATTTCGTGGTGTTAGTTGATAGTAGGCACCATCTTTGTTACACCATTTTTTTATATTCCAGCTCTGAACAAGGCTTTTCCTACATGTTCTCTTCAACCCTTCCACTGACATGTCGGAACTAACCATTTCTCTTTTATTTCTTATCAGTCCTACATATTGCAAGTTTGGATCACACCCTGTAACTATTCATTCCAACACTGCAGCAACTGACAGTAAGTCACCTGTTCTGATATGACACTGGAGCTTGTCAATGTTAGTTCTGTTAGTCAGTGAATCAGGGTTTGTCAAATTATTCATCTTCATTTCAGCCTAGGAGCTAGCCAAATAGTGTCTACTTCAAATTACAGTGCTTTTGTTTTAATCTTTTACTTTCCAGAGTCCAACTTCACCTGCACATACCATTCCCTGCCAACCTGTGAGGGATGTCTGCTCTACACCGTGGACAGCAGAACCAACAATCAATTAATCCACATTATGAATATCGACGAACCTAAGACCATTGCAGAGGTCAAAAGCTATCGGGCTTTTTACCTGATGGGTAAGAAGAACAAGAGAGAAAAAAACAGTTTGTAGTCCGAAAAATGTCTTAATCATAATTGAATTACATTTCTGTTTCCAGCCAAAGAGTCGACTATCAAGCACCACGAGCTGGCACATGCCATGAAGCAGGCCAAGTGTCTTGGTTTCACTGGAGAACCAGACTTCATCTACGACCCCAAAGACAGTACGTTACCTACATACTTATCTGATTGATGACATAGAGAGGAGTGATTTCTGACAAAACTGAATTATTTCTCTCTCTTTCTCTTTGCAGCTCTCTGTGACAAAGACGAACAGTAAGCTGAAGAAAAGTGAAGGCGATATTCAGCTGAAGTACTAACCATCCCTGAGAAATATGTTTAACAGAAATTGAGGATGTAAATAAATAAATGTGGAAAAAAAAACAATAAAGTTGTGAATTTATTTCCATTCAAATAAATACAGAGGTTGGCGATGGATTGGCTCTTCTATTGAAAGGGGCCAAAAAATGAAGAATAAGAAGACAGGGCCAATTGAAAAGAGTGGGTAATTCCTCAGTGTTTAAGGATGGCATAGGGGATTCAATTTGGAAAGTGGTTGATGTTCCTAACGCAGCAGAAAACTGGCTGAGGATTTGTCAGGGCAGAGGGAGACAGTAGTGGATTGAACACAATTACTTCAAGATTTGATACATGGGTGGGTTAAAAAGCTTTTGGGGTATGAAAGCTCGCAACAGGTCTGGAGACAAATCCATGACCAGTGGATCAGGGTTATGCTTAAGATAAGATAAGATAAGATAATCCTTTATTGATCCCCAGTGGGGAAATTCAAGTGCTGCAGCAGTAAAAGACAACAAGAAGAACATGCATATTAATATTAATACAATTAGAATATATTGGAATAAAATAAAAGTAAAGATAAAGTAACTACGTATTTACAACTATAATAAGCAAAATGTCTGTCAGTAATTAAGAAGACAGACTATAGGAACCACTGCTGTTGTACAGTCTGATGGCAGTAGGCACAAACGAGCGCCTGAAGCGCTCAGTTTTGAACCTGGGGGGGATGTGAGGATGGCTGAAGGAACTTCCCAGCTGCCATGGCTCATCATGGAGAGGGTGAGAGGAGTTGTCCAGGATGGCTGTGATTTTGTCCCTCATCCTCCTCTCAGCCACCATCTCCACTGTCCAGGCCAACAAGCGAGCGTGCCTTCCTCACCAGCTTGTTGAACCTGCTGACCTCACCAGTTTTACTGCCACCCCACCAGCACACCACAGCAAAGAAGAGTGCACTGGCCACCACAGACTGGTAGAAGGTCTTCAGGAGTCTTTTGCAGACACTGAACGATTTGACTCTCCTCAGGCAGAACAGCCTGCTCTGTCCCTTCCTGAAGTTACTGAGCTATCAGTGGCCCATGATTTGACCAATTATATTAGCTTTGATCTTTTGTCAAATGTATTTTTTATTTTCCCTGTCAGCTCCAACTGAGGTTTTTTTTTTTAGTTTCTAGAAATTTGAGTGGGTTACGTAAATCAAAATCAGAATGGAATTGCATTCACTGTCATTTTAAGCTCTGTTCCCAACAACCATGAATAAGTAATAATGAGTCTCTCCGTGGTTTTTGTGTGTGCAAATGGCAATTGGAATCGCTTTCTAATTCTGGAGCATTTACAGTAGTCCCATGAGCACTCTCAGGAAGAGTCTTTGTTGTGTTCTCTTTACAGATGCAGTGGTGTGGACTGACCAGGAGAGGTCCTCAGATATTAGGACATCCTAGAATCTTTAGGCAGTCTACAAAGTCGTGCCAGCCCTTAGGTGGAGGAGAAGGTATACTGACATTGATCGACACTCTGTGCGTAATTTCTATTTCTGGACAAGTCCTTGATTTAGTTGTATACAGGGGAGGAGAGGCTGAAGTCAAGCAGATTGCTGACTAAAAAGTCTGGAATGATTGTATTAAATGCTTAGCTGAGGTCAATTGAAGATCATCCTCACATAGTTCTCCCAGTGTTCGTGGCTCGGCCCTGTGTGACTTGCAATGCCACTTTACACTTTGAAGCACTTTGAATCGCACTTGTTGCTAAGATGCACTAAATAAATAAACTTCCCTTTCCCAGGTCCCCTATACTCAGGTCAACTCGCAGTTCGTTTTCATCGGGGTAGCAGAGAGTCACTCCCGTGATTCCCCGCCAACCTCAATGTCATGTTTTGTTATTGTTTTGATTGAGAGCCTCCCTGGTGGCGAAATTGACATACTTGCTAGTCAAGCTAGCAAGTTCTAGCTAGCTTGACTTTTTCGCCTCTTTTTCTATAAAGCTAACACTAACTACAGTATAGATTGTAGGCCTTGACCATTAGACTTTTATGAGGTCTGCAACAATTTTTATTTGGTTTTTAATGATGCGCTTTTATTTTGTTGGCAAAATGGGTGCAAAGTGTGTGCTCATAAGTAATATGTGGACTTAATATCTGTCAAAAAGGTCACACTGGTGGGGTATAACGGTGGCTGAATGGTTACGGCGCTCTCCTTTATTTCAGAGCTTCACTTAAGTAGGTGTGATATTGGGGGCGCAGATAGCCAAGCGGTTAGGTTAAATTTATATTGAGAAAAATTACATTGTAATAACTGTCGTTCTCGTTTTATTGCCCAGGCCCAAGTTTGAACATCACACAACTATCCTGGAACACCTTCAGAATAAAAGCCTTAAAACAAGTGCATAAACAAGGGCAATTTCTTCACACAAATTCCAGAGCAAGCTTTTAACTTGAAAATCAAACAAGAAGTATAACTGGACTTTTTTCATGCCTGTCACATATTCTACTAATATGTATAGACATATATGTCATACAAGGTTGATATAGCCATCTATATCATTTTGTCCTTTCTGATCAAAACCACGAGGCTAAAAATAACAATAGGCAGGACTTCTAGTCTCTAAATTTTCAGCACAAGACCCACCAAAGACAGACTTGAGACACACAGCTCACACTGGCAGTCTGGAAGCTCTTACTTAACATGCCAAAATGAAAAAAAGGGGCCGCAGTGCAGTCACTAAGACACACGTCAACAAACAACCAATTGGGAAGTGAGCTGACTGAAGAAGGAAGCACAACAGCCGCGGCCAATACTTCTTACTCACCTTCAGCTTGCCCTCTAACATACCCATGGTAATGTCCATGACTCCAGATACAATCATCACCTTTTCTTACCCAACAACCGCCGTAATTATTTACTCTAAAACTGAGTTCCAACATGAGAGATTTTGAGAGATTCTGGACTCTGATTGGCCATGAATATAATCTGTTAGTGTGTGGTGTGCTGTCTTGGTCACATCATTGTTCTTGTCACACTACTGTTTAATCTGTGTTTTTCTACGTGTGTGGTCTCCCACATTTTCTACAATGTGTTTGTTTGAACATTTGTAAAAACCATTAGTGTGGTTTGGATAGCTGCTAATGAGTGGCTTACTAGATGAAGTTGTGTCTGTTTGGTCGGGTTAATTTTTTTCAACCTAAGAACGACAAAGTTCAATTAGAAGGTTTTTCTTTTTTCATTTATTTCTATTTGTACATTGTGAGTATCCAAGGACAAATCAACACACATTGTAAATGTTTGATGTGCAAACTGAAGTGTCCTTAGAAATCCTACAAACACAGGACACCCCTAGGATCTCCTCTTAGCCTGCAGTGAGAGGAGGTACATAGAAGTCCATGTCATTGCCCAACTCTGAGGAAAATAAATAAAAATTCCTATTATATGAAGAGTCCAAAAAGCCTGAACACTTGGAACTCCGCCATAAGCAACTTCTATAAAGGCTGAGTGAATATGTGAGGCTCCATCATTCAGCTTTGTCAGAGAAAAGCTTTTTTGGTGTTCTCTTCCAGTCAAGCTAACCATTTGTAGCATCATGAATCTGTTGTTCAGCAGTCTTTTCCTGGTGGCTGGGTTGTTCCTGTGCAGCTCGGCTCAAACAGTTGAGGAATGCAGACCTCTGATACACCTCTTCCAACTTTTGAACCGGTAAGCTGCTTCTACTTCCCTCCTGGGTCTTTAGGTTAGCATTAGCATGAATGACTTTCAGCAGCTTTTTCAGTTTTGGAAATACTGATGTACTGTATAAGATTGACTACCTTGGACTCAGATACTTTGCCCAAAGATTGACATTTTCAGATGGATTCATTATCCTTTTTCTACAGTGAGTGTGAAGCTGTGGTTTTCAATTTGAATCTATTACTAAATCTTATTCAGCTCTTATTTCTCTCTGATTCAAGTCTACGTGTTAAGCTATGCTAAACATGTGCTCGTTATTATGTAAACGCTTATTTAGAGGCTACACATAAAGGCTTTTTGCACTTCCACAACTTTTTCCTGAAAGTTCTACTGGTAAAGGATCTATGTGTTTTTAAGAATATGTTACTGTTTCCTGTATATTACTTACATTTAAATAACTGCAAACTACCTGCTCAATTAAAAAAACAAAATTGAGGAATCTAAATATGATTTTCTGCCAAACATTTAGAAAATATTTGGCCTTGTTTAGAATGGCTAGGGTAATATTGAAGATGAATATATGATTTGAATCATGAGCTGAAATATTACAATCTTGAGTCAGCTTTTGATACCCAGTTCTACGCCTGATAAAGATTTGTACCTTATTGAATTTATGTTTGTCGGCAGAGTTACGGAAAGTGGATCTTCATCATGGGCTGGATTACTAGTGAACCACATAGAGCATTGTTCAAGACAACCAAGAGCCAGTGGATTGACTTCATTAAGACATCACCAAATGACAAGCAATTTGTTCAGGATATTGGGATCAGGCAGTGAGTATCAGCAGTGCAAATATATCATATATTCATGTAAATGGATAAACATAGAGGAAAGAATCCCCCTAAAATACATTTAACAAACGTTGGTCACATTCTTGTGTCTATACTACTCCATGCTAAATTCTTAATCATTCCAACCAGATTAACTGCTCTACAGATGTTACCAAACAACACCTGGGATGCATCCTTTAAGGCACATCAATTTACCTTTTGCCATGCTAGCTCAGGAATTACTAACATGGAGATTTCCATCCAAGCATGGCATGTTTGCTGCTTAAAATTCTGATATTTCTTTTAGACAATCTTTCAATAAACTGTATGTCTTAGATTTCAACTAGAACTAAACAATAGGCCTATATTAAGCAGCTAACATGCTTTCTTCTTTGGGTTCTTCTACAAGCCTTAATGGCTTCATGCATGCTCTCATGCTAGAAGACTGAGGCATAAGCTAACAGGTCACATGTACAACATCACTTTGATGAGAACACAATTGTTGGAAGATAGATTTGTACAAACTCACTATTGTTACTTCAAGTTCT